TTTTTTTTTTTTTTTTTTGAGACAGAGTTTCACTCTTGTTACCCAGGCTGGAGTGCAATGGCGCGATCTCGGCTCACCGCAACCTCCGCCTCCTAGGTTCAGGCAATTCTCCTGCCTCAGCCTCCTGAGTAGCTGGGATTACAGGCACGTGCCACCATGCCCAGCTAATTTTTTGTAGTTTTAGTAGAGACAGGGTTTCACCATGTTGACCAGGATGGTCTCGATCTCTTGACCTCGTGATCCACCCGCCTCGGCCTCCCAAAGTGCTGGGATTACAGGCGTGAGCCACCGCGCACGGCCTGTGGTTTTTTTTTTAAAGCTCACCAGCTATCACTAGTGTTAGTGTATTTTATGTGTGGACCAAGACAATTCTTCCAATGTAGCACAAAGAAGCCAGAAGATTGGCTATCCCTGCTTTAGATTAAACATGGAATAGATCATATATAGTTTATTTCCCTAAAATAACTTTATTATACATCTTTCTATGTAAGCAATACTTGCTCATGTGGCTGGACTATATTCTTCACTGAATATCATTTTAAAACTATCTTAAAATACATTTTTTGAGACACGGTCTAACTGTCACCAAGGCTGGAGTGCACTGGCATGCTCTTGGCTTACTGCAACCTCCGCCTCCTGTACTCAAGTGATCCTCCCACTTCAGACTTCCCAATAGCTAGGACCTTAGGCACACGCAACCATGCCTGGCTAATTTTTTTTTTTGTGTGTGTGTAGTTTTGTTAGAGACAAGCTTTTGCCATGTTGCCCAGGCTGATCTCGAAACTCCTGAGCTCAAGCAATCCACCTACCTTAGCCTCCCAAAGTGCTCGGATTACAGGTGTGAGCTGCCACACCTGGCCTAAAAATGTATTTTTGAGACAGCCTCTCACCATGTTGTCCAGGCATGGCCTCAAACTCCTGGGCTTAGACAACCCTTCCACACTGGCTTCCCAAAGTGTTGGTACTACAGGCATGAGACACCACACCTGGCCTCTTTGCTGAATAACTATGTACAAGAAAACAATCAAAATTTTGGCATCTCTGTCTTGGAATTGCAACATGAATAAGGCATACGGGAGCACAACGTAAAGAACAGCAATTTAGGTAGAAAAACACAAAGAAGGAGCCTTCATTTAGAATACTAACTTTGGAAAGTTGTTTACCTTGGTGCTTTCAAATTAGGGATTAAATTAGGTGGAAAATTTACCTGGTAGCTTATTAAAAATGCAGATTTAAAAAATCATACATTGTGATACTGAGTGTCAACTTGATTGAAGGATGCAAAGCACTGATCCTGGGTGTCTTTGAGGGTGGTGCCAAAGGAGATTAACATTTCAGTCAGTGGGCTGGGGAATAGAGGCCCACCCTTAATCTGGTGGGCACAATCTAAACAGCTGCCAGCGAATATAAAGCAGGCAGAAAAACATGGAAAGGCGAGATTGGCCTAGCCTCCCAGCCTACATCTTTCTCCTATGCTAGATGCTTCCTGCCCTCAAACACTGGATTCCAAGTTCTTGTCTTCAGACTCAGACTGGTTCTCCTTGCTCCTCAAGCTTGCAGACAGCCTATTGTAGGACCTTGTGATCTTTTAATACTTAATAAACTCCCCTTTGTACACACACACATATACATATGTATGTGTGTGTGCGTGTGTATATATATATATATATATATATATATCTTATATATATATGTATGTATCTTATTAGTTCTGTCCCTCTAGGGAACTCTAATACATACATTTTATAGAAAAAAATGCAGATTCCCAGAACTTATCCTCAGATGTTTAAGCACTATATTCTGGTTGGGACATCAGAATCTGCATTTAGCATATATCCCAGGAAATTCTGATGACGGAATTTTCCAGACCATGTTACAGAACTATTAAGGAAAACTTTGTATTTGGTGCTGTGTTAAATGTTACCTCTTTTTAAAGATAAGAAAACAGTTTCAAAACCTCAATTTGCAGAAGCAGACATTATAGTTGCTATCAGAACAAGAATTCAGAACCCACGCCTGACTCTAAAGCAATTCTTAGCTATGCCTTCGGAGTACTTACAGTTCTAACAGTTTTTAAGTGGGCCACAGAGCTTGAACTTCAGGTATTTGCAGACCAAATCTTGAAAATGGTTATATTACTCAGATAATACTCACCTTATTTCAATTTTTAAAG